CTTTCATTTCCATCAAACCAAATATATGCTAATTTTTTGCTAATATGGAAAGTACTAACAAAGCTTTCATATTTATTTAGGCTTGTTTTATGATGATAACATTACTTTTACCATAAGCTAGATCAGTTTTTTTGTCATCAAGACTTATTTTGTATGACTTTAAGAAATGAAAATTAGCTGTTAAAATGCAACAGTTGCTTGAATAATATGCTTATCTGACATATTTTATCATTAAATCGCTGAAAGATTTGCCCTCTCATTAAGCTTCTGCTTGACAATTTTAAATATTTTCAGATGTTTATCTGTGGTACTAAACTAATTGATTCAAAGCAATAATTATAAAATTAAAAAAAATTACGTCTGAGGTTTTATTTCCCTAATTTCCATCTAACTGCAAATTCCTCCATGGAAATAGTTAATTGAAATGACAGCCTTTGTTGGTACGTTTGGTCGTGATCAACCATTTCCAATAGAAAATTATAAAAAAGGTCAGTTTTTTAAATGCAGTATATATATTAAAAATTGTTATAAATCTTTGATCGAATATTATATTTTCAAATTTTTTGTTCTTGTGTTTAGTGTAGCTTATTTAAACCTTATTATTTTCATCCTAATTATTTTAATTTAATTGTTTTAAAGGGGCAAAAGTATGGTTGAAAGATCCAAATAAAGTATGGATAAGCGGCGAGTTGCTTCAAGATTTCAAGTTTTCTTCCAAACTTAGCATACTACTAGAAGATGAACGAGTACGTTAATATTTAATACATATTTTAGTTAATATTTTGAATTTAGCACATGTTTTAACTGTTATTTAATTACAGAGTCAGTATTTATGTGATCTTATTTTGATATAAATATAGCTAAATTATATTTTCATACTGATAATAACAAAAATTTAGTTGCATATTCAAAATTTTCAGCTTTAAAAAGATTAATAATGGCAGTTTTTAGGTGATAGAGTTTGCCTTAAAAGAGTCTGAAGGGCTGCCATTTCTGAAGAATCCAGATATTTTACTCGGACGGGACGACCTAACAACATTAAGTTACCTTCACGAGCCTGCAGTTCTCAATCATCTCAACTTTCGATTCGTTAAAAGGGAAGCAATTTACACTTATTGTGGTATTGTTTTAGTCGCCATCAATCCTTACGCAAATTGCTCTCAACTTTATGGTGAAGACGTCATACAGGTATAATGTTACTGTTTTATACATTGAGTTACTTGAGAACTTGATGTACTTTATCAAAAGTTATCATATATGGAAAGAGACTGGATATAAGCAAAATATGTTGCTTATTTAATACCATTTTTGAAAATATGTTTGAGTAAATTATGTGTATTATGTATATTTTACCAACATGTTTATAGATATACCGAGGTGTTGGCAAACAAGTGCGTGAACTTGACCCTCACATTTATGCTGTAGCTGAAGAAGCATATTTTGATCTTCATGAATTAGAGAAAAATCAATCAGTAATTGTAAGTGGTGAATCTGGAGCCGGGAAAACAGTTTCTGCTAAGTTTGTTATGAGGTAGAACTTCTACAGCAATTATTCCTTGTTATTCTGACTTAAATACAATGCATAAATTGATATAAGCAACTGTAATTTTGTTATTTATATATAAATAATTAATACTTTCAGGTACTTAACTTTTGTTGCAAGTTCACCGTTAAATAAACCTTATGGATGTGTGCCAACAGATGTGGGTATCGAAGATCGTGTTTTAGCATCAAATCCAATTATGGAAGCAATTGGAAATGCAAAAACTATCAGAAACGATAATTCTTCACGTTTTGGCAAATATATACAGATTAATTTTGATGAGCGATTTAGTGTTGCTGGAGCTGAGATGAAGACTTATTTGCTAGAAAAAAATCGTGTCGTATATCAGGTCAATGATAGCATTTACTAGACTATTAATATATTTTACTTATCATTTCTTCCATGTTAAGTAATATAAATCCAAAAACTCATTGACTCGATTTGTACATCAAAGATAATTAATAGTAAGTAAATAGGAGGCAAGTAATTTTAATAACGAATTAACTAAAATAAGCTTATATCTCTGATGTAGAATATTAATAATTAAAGGTAATAAGTATATTAATAAAGTTATCAGTATATATGTACTTTTAATTACGATTTCTTCTGTAATCTTCAAAAACGATATAAATGAGAAAAACATATCATTTTCTGATTCAATTCGTTTTTTTATTGTGCAATTTTTTGCGTATACTTATAAATTTTTTGCATTTCAGGCTGAGAATGAGCGTAATTATCATATTTTTTATCAGATTTGTGCATCGAAATCTCATTTTTTACTCGAAGAACTTAATTTAGGTGTTAGTTTGATATTTGCTTTTATTCTTTCTTTAATTGAAAAACATTTGCATTCTTATAGACAAAATAAAAATTTGGACAAATTTATGTATGAATAAAATATGCTACTTGCTATTTAGTTATTTATGTTTTTCAAATTGTTTTGTAATAATATCTTTATTGAATACATTAATAATAAGCGCAAGTACTAAGCTTAGAAACTTGATAGCTCTTATCTACTAATACCATTTATTCATTTTCTTTATCTTATCCTTTCTGTGTAAGAAAATTTAGTGACAAATTTAATAATATCAGACGATTGTAATTGCTAAGCTAATGGAAGTTCGGTTTATTATGTAACATATTAAAGGTTTAATATAAGTTTGAACTTTGACAAATCTTGGTTTTGGTTTCATTTCACTTAAATGTCGTAGACTTCAGATGATTGGCATGCATATTCTTACACAGCTCAAGGAAAAAGTGGACAAATCGAAAATATCGACGACGGAAAGGATTTCTTAGAAACCTTAACTGCCATGAATTTATTGCACATCTCAACAGATATTCAGAAATCAGTATTTCGTGTATTTGCTGGTCTTTTGTTATTTGGTAATATCAAATTCATTGATGGGCGCGAAGAATACGCTGAAATTGATGTACGTTTGTATCGAAAAGAATAGAATGCTTTTTATTTTTATAACTTCATTATCATTTTCTAACTATTACCAACTGATTTAGCAAAATACTCTACCAACAATTTATTATCTATGTAAAAAAATATACGAAGTGAGAGAAGAAGACCTATGCAACTGGTTAGTATCACGTAGAATCAACGCTGGATCTGAATCAGTACAAAAGCCATTAACTGTTACACAGGTAATTAATTGCTTCATTTGACTTTTTTGATTCATTCATTCTCAAAAACTTTTAGGTTTTCTATAATTATAATCTTCAAATGCTACGTAACTGTGATAAAAAGTGAATTTGAAGGATAAAACTGAAAGTCTTCTCAAATTTGTTTCATTTTAAATTTGCAATTTTTCAAGACTTTATTTTTTTATATGGTTTACAATTTTTTGTATTTATTTTTGTTTTCCGATAAGATTAAAATTGAACTAAATTATTGCAGGCAGTAATATGTCGTGATGCATTGGTTAAAATGCTTTATGCATCAATATTTACTTGGATCGTAAAAAGAATAAATGAAGCTTTAGGAGATGGATCAAGTAATAATACCGTAATGAAAACTCAAAGATTTATTGGTGTTCTCGATATATACGGGTCAGTTTAAGGACTATTTTTTTGTCAAAATTTTAATACTTAATAGTTTTTCCACATTTTCACCACTTCAATAATTCAAGTCAGAATATATTTTTTAATCTTAGCATAGATTTGATACATAAACTAGAATTTTCATGCTCTTTACAGCTTTGAAACTTTTGAAGTCAACAGTTTTGAGCAATTCTGTATTAATTATGCAAATGAAAAGCTACAGCAACAATTTTGTCAGGTTTGCTAGCTTTAATTCTTTTATGCTTGTCTAATTTGTGATGGATTAATTCATCTTATTAAAATTTCGACTGACGTGAAAAATAATTTTTTCAATTACATTAGTGGGCTTAAGAAAATTTCAGCATGTGTTCAAACTTGAACAATCAGAATACGAACGTGAAGAAATTGACTGGATCAGGATTGATTTCTATGATAATCAATCTTGCATTGATTTGATAGAAGGTCGGCCCGGCATAATTGATTATCTTGATGAGCAATGTAAGGTAAAAAGTCTTTCATAGATATCACAAAAATAACTTCTACTGGAAACATGATTAAATAAAAAAGTTGAACCTTTAATAAATGATTTAAAGACCAAAAAATTAAAAAAAACTTACTGTGCAAGTGAAATTTTCTTTTGAACAATATCTTAATCAATTTTAATACTTATTTTGTGAAGATTTTTTATTGTGTCTTTTTCAAATAAATGAGCTAGTCTTTAAGTCAAAATGTACTAGTTAAGATGGGTCAAGGAACTGATCGGGATTGGTTGGAAAGGTTACGATCATGCCAATCACTCAAGAAGATGCAACATTTTCAGCTATCAAAAATTAAAGTGTGTTTAGGAATTTTTTTTTCAATTCTATAAATTAAAACTGCTTCTATTAATTTTGCTTTTTTCAAATTAAATCATTTTTTCTCTGAGCAGAATCCATCATTCATCATCAAGCATTTTGCTGCCGATGTCGTTTACAATGTAGATGGTTTTCTGGAAAAAAATATGGATACAGTAAGCGAGCAACTTGTAAATGTCATAAAAAATAGTAAGGTAAGTTGGTATAAAATATTACAATAATAAAAATTTGAACGCATCAATTTTCTTTATTTCTAAATTAAAATTTGGATATAAAAGTGC